CCAGTACCCAGGTGTCCTGATTCCCTGTCCACTCTGCCCGGCGGCCTCTCCACAGCTACGTTTACTTGCTCTGGAATATAGGGTTTTCTTCCTCCTTGAGTCATGTTTGTTTCAGCAGTGGCTCCATAGTGCTTAAGAAAGGCTTGTTGAATGAATAAATAACTAAGTGCTCAGGCTGATATTAAAATGAGTTTTTGGCCCCTGAGCAGACACAGCCTGGGTGGGGGGTCAGGAGAGAGGCTGGAGAAAAGCCAGCCTGGCAGGAGACACTTGCAGGATGGAGAAGTTGCCTGCGTCCTCCTCCTGCGAGAGCAGGGGCTTGGGGCTTCCGAGACCCTCCCGCTTTGCCTGTCTGCCTGCAAGTCTCTTACGTAAAGGTCTCTGGATTTCCCTTGATCTCTCAGGCTTCCCGCTGGCCTTTCATGAGCCAGTCCACAGCCAGGAGGAAAGGTGGAGCTGTGGGGTTTGGAAAGCAGTGGAGACAGAGCTCAGGAGGAGAGGGAGAGACAGACACACACACAAATGGCAGAGGGGAGGCTGGAGCGCAGAGAAGGAGCGTGGTGTGGGACGGGGTGGTGGGGGTCCAGGAGTCCTTGTTGGTTGGGGAGGGAGGCAGACAGGGGAGAGTCTGGAGGCTGGGCTGGCTGGCGGCCCCACTCACCTTTGAGGCCCTGGCCCATGCCCAGCGCCAGCCCGTCCTTGGTCCATTGCACGATCCCGGAGTAGTTGAGCAGCACGCAGGGCAGCACGGCCCGCTGTCCGGCCACCACAGTCTGGTCGGCTGGCTCCTGGCTGAAGCGGGTCTGGGTCCCTGGCAAAGCCAAAGCCGTCACTGGGTGAGGGGTTGAGTGAGGACAGGGTTCCACCAAGAGGCCACGCCTCCCGGGCTCCCACTCCCACCAGATGATGGGTGAGAGTCCAGTCCTGGCCCCACTGCAGCCCCAACCCCTTCCCTGCAGGATGCCACGTGCCAGCCCTTGATTCCTCCGCTTGCTGGGGTGGCCCAAGGGAATGGGCTTCAGGCGCGTGATCAGACAAAGTGGTGCAGTGTTATGTAAAGTCTGTAGACACCAGACTAGCCCGACCCTCTCATTTTACAGAAGAGGACATTGGAGCCGAGGGAGAAGTGTCACCTTCCCGAGGGCACCCAGAGAGTTAAGGACAGAACCTCCGCACCTCGGGTCCCGGGCTCTTGCTCAATCACCTCTCCCGCGCTCCCCTGCCCGACTCCCACATCAATGGGTGATGCATCCATAACAAATCCTGCTGGGGATGCTGTGGTCCACCTCCATCCTTGAGACAGGCGTAGACCACCATCCCCCTACTTGGACGTGCGTACATGAGCCCATGTGAGGTGACACACGTGTGCCACCATGCCAGGTACAATTCCCCCATGAACACACCCAGTAAGTGCTCAAAGGCAGATTCCAGGGACAGGCACATCCACAGTGTGTGTATAAGCTTCCTGGGTCCCAAAGTGGCTCTGAGCCCACCTCTGCACACTTTCCGTTTCGTGTGTGCACCCTTGCTGCCAGGCTCTGGAGGCATGAGTGCGTACACAGGGACACACCTGCCCACGCCCGCCTCCCGCCCCGCACCTGTGGGATGTGAGAGCCACGTGACCGGGTTCCACTCGCCCTCTGGCTGCGGGAGCCACACACGGCTGCCCGGCTGGCAGCTCGGCCGGGAGCATTTGATTAGAGAGCTGCAGAGTAATTGCCTTTAATTGTGGGGCCTAAATGGAGCAGGGAATTGGACTGCGGGTTTCTTCGCCCCTCCACCGCTCCCACCCACCCACCCAACCCAGCACGGGTTGGCCTGGTGGGGGGGCAGTTCTGGGTACCATGCTGTGACCATCGGTTCCTCTGGGCTGGACTACAGGGAAGAGAATGGGAGACGGAGGGGCTGCGGGACAGCACGGGGAGAGGTCTGGGGCTTCCCACGCACGTCCCCAATCTGTCACACGCTGTAACCAAAATCAGTTTCCCCTGGAACTCAGGAGATTCCTCCCCCTTCTTTCCCTCCTCAGCTCCCATAATCCCCACATCCAACTCTTTCAAACCCAGCCTTCCAAAAGTTCCCTGATCCTCCATCACTCCTGTGTGTAAGCCAATGGAACTTGTCCCTCCCCATTCCAAGACCTTCCTCTAAGTCACCAGAAACAGAACCCTAGTCTTCTTGTCCTTGCTCTACCTCCTCCTCCGCCTCCATATTTCCCCTTCTCTCCAAACCCGGCCCACATTTCCCCCTTCCAGGAAGTCCTCCTAGATTGATCTTTTAGATCCTTAGGCAAACACAGCTTGTCCCACCTTTCAGCCCTGCCGTCACAGCTCTATCCTTGGGATTTCCTGTCCCAAACCATCAGGGCCTGTGCTCATGCTTTTGTTTGTCATGGGGTAGAGGGCAGCTGCTGGGTGGGGGTGATTGCTCTATCTGTTCCACCAGAATGGAAACCTCTTCTCAAGACCAAGGGCCATGCTCTCTCTTCCCTTGGAATCGCCCTGGACATCTGACATCCACATTGGTTGGTGCACATAAAGGGGACCGAGGCTAGGAGCAGACTGATGGCCAGCATACGAGTTAATACAATGAGGCAACCCTGTTTGGTTAAGTGTGCAAATCCAGCTCTTTGGGTCTGCAGGGGGTCAGGAAGTTAGAAACAGGGCCCCTCCCCCGAACACTGTGTGAGCATCTCCCCAACTCTGCTTGACCCGACACCCCATCCACGACTTCTAAAGAAGGAAAGGATAAGGCTCGCCTCTGTTTCCTGGGATGGGTGGCAGGTGCTGAGATCCTGGGGGAGGGGATGGGTCAGGTGAGCAGCCAGCATTATTAATTCAGGCATTGCCCTCATTATTATTCAAATTTATTCATATCATTGCGCATTTCTCTAGTGCAGCTACATGCTGCAAACTCTCTACGCTCACGTTTCTCCTTCCCACGGCCCCCGGAGCCCAAGTCAAGGGCTCTGGAGCAGAGTGGCCTGTGAGCTCTGGCTCAGAGATGGAATTTACATTCACAGCTTTCCTGTGCGGGTCCTGGACACCTTGGTCTCCTGTCAAAGTCTCCCGAGGACAGAGAGAAGCAGGCTCCTTGTCCTGTGGGAGCAAGGAGGTAGCTCGCCCTGCAGCAGGACGGAGGTGGGAAGCCTTAAGAGTCAGAGATGGCATCTCGCCAGAGGGAGGGAGGGCTGATGTGACCTTGGGCATGTCACTGCCCCATCCTGGCCTCCTCCGTGTGCTCACCTGTACAATGACAAGTCTGGACTGAGGACTGCAAAGGTCCCTTCGGGGAACAGAGGTTTAGGAGACAGACTTAGGCGTGCATAGTGACTCCGACGCTTCCTACCAGTGTGACCGTGGCCGAATGACTCTCTAAGCCTCACTTTCCTCAGTGGTAAACTGGGAGAAGGGGGGACGATGGATGACACCTACACTGGACTGCTGGGGAGTTAAATGGGATGAGGGGTGTGACATTCCCCTGCACGTGCCCACTGGGTGGTAGCTATGACCTTTTTTATCCTGGGCAGTTAGATCATCAGGGGACCGGCAGGAACTTGAGCAGTGACATGGCAGAGAGCATCCATCATCCTGGGGATGCTGAAGCACGACGCCCTCCTGGTGTGGGCCTGGGTGAGGCCGTTTAGTCTGGAGACCGGGGGATGGAAGCAGCGACCTCAAAGAAGGTCCAGGGAAGACGGGAAATGAAGGATCTCGGGAATTCAACGCGGCGGGAAGGGGCAGGTGCTGAGCCTGTGCAAGTGGCAGGCCCCAAAAGAGCCCCTGCAGCCAAGACAGTGTCTGAGGTAGATGGGCTGTCCTGACCCGGATCACGATTAGGAGAAAGCCCCGAGCCTGTCCTGCCACCACCAAGTCCCCCTCTCTCTACTTTGCACACTCTGGGTTTTTGTCCTTGTCTCCGTGCCCTTGCTCAGGCCTACCCCTGGGTAGGACACTGCCCCCCCTCACCCTCCTTGGGAGTCAAACAGTCACCTCCTCTAGGAAGTCTTCCCTGACTTGCCTGCATGCCCTCAGAGCCCTCTGGACTCACTTCCCACCTCTGCAACAGTAGGTCCACGCTGCACTGCCCACCCCTGCCTGGCCCAGGGAAAACTCCTTGCATCTGGACTGTGTCACTCAGAGCACCAGCCCCATCACCCAGCACAGGGCCTGGCTGCCAGGCGCATGCCAGGTGTTCCAAATAAGTCTGTAGAATGATGGAGTGAAAATGAGTGAATGCCTGAAAAAACTGTCCTGCCTGTGCACCGCCGTCGAGGAAAGGCAGAACACCCCGGCCCCCAGGTCAGGCTCACAGACTCCAGCAAAGGCAGACAGGCTGGGAGGGTGGAGGCACAGGACAGGACTCTCCCTGCAGGGAAAGGAGGAGCAGTCCTGGGAGGCTCCCTGAAGGAGGGAGCATGGAGCAGGGCTGGGTCAGGTAGGGGAAACAGAACTCTGGAAAGTTCTGATGCAATGGTGGGGATGAGTGATGAGGGGATATGGGGATGGCTGAGAAAAAAAAAGCTTAGAAGGTGAGCAATGAGGTGCAGCCACCAGACAGGGCACAACAGGACGGGCAGTGGCAGCGTTACAAACAAAACAGAGGTGCTGGTTATCTGTCCTGGAATGTCAGGAAGGCATCAAGAACCAGGACCCGTGGCCTGGAAAGGACGCACACACATCAGAACACACATGTGCCTTGGAGCCTGCATTAGAATGGGGTGTGTGAAATTCCAGCCCCTTTCCTGTGCCCTCACCCCACTTCTAGGAAATAAAACCAGGGGAATGGCTGGCTGGGGAGCCAGGTGGGAAGGGAGTCAGGAAGGTCCCGACCACAGGCAGAAGGTGGCCACAGACCAGCCTCTGGAGCAGCAGCAGTGGTGTCGCATCAGCCGCCTTGCCTGTCTGGCAGCTCGGGCCTGGGATGAGAGCAAATCCAAGCGTGTGTGTGTGTGTGTGTGTGTATGTGTGTGTGTGTGTGTGTGTAAGTGAATCCCCGCCTGCTCTCACCCCACCGCCTCCCTGTCTTCAGACACCGTCACAGCTCTCAAGCAGCCATTGTGAAGACAGGCACCGAAGGAGTGTGCTGTACACGGGGCGCGGGAGCTCGCACACGCGGGCGCACACACATGCATACAGACTGACGGGGAGGCTGGCGGAGGCGCCAATGACACCGAGCAGAGCAGCGGAGACAAAGACAGACATCCACCAGGCAGAGGGAGAGCGAAGGCGGGGAAGGAGACTGGAGGAGAGACAGGAAGGGAAGAGGGGATCTTGGTTAGAAAGAGGCCAGGAAAGAAGTCAGAGGCCCAGGGCAGAGACGCAGAGAGAAGCACTGGTGACGCAGAGACGCCCTGGATTCCCAGAGGCCCGGGCCACGGCAGAAAAGCAGGCCGCCTGAGGGTCGCTGGGAGACAGGGGGCAGCAGGGCAGGGAGGTGATGGGGAGTGTGGTCACAGGGGGCCAGGGCGCCTCTCCAGCTCAATCCTGTCCTTCAGACACATTGCCATGAAGCTGGGGTGGTCCTCAGACTCCAGAAGCCCCCCTACCCCCAGTGCTGCCACCAGTATTCCTAGCAGGTGCAGACAGGGCATGCAGGCAGGTGAAGCGCCGAACAGGGTGGGGAGGGTAAGGGGAGCACAGAGGGACCCTGGGGAGAAATGACGGTTGCAACAAGGGTGCTGTTGGGTGGGACCTGTGGGCTCCTCACACAGGACGAGGAGAGATCAGAGCTGGAGAAACCCTAGTTTCCCGTCAGCTTCCTCCCAGCCCACCCCCGAGACCTCCTTTCTTCTAGGTAACCCTGGCCCTTACCACCCGCCACAGAGGCTC